AATGCATTTCACCTCATCATGAATTGGTTTTTTTTGGAAACAGAAAAAATATATATTGTGTTTTCAGTTAAGTCTTTGAGGCCATTTGACAATATCAATTCTAATTTGCTAATTTTGCCGTTCACTGGTTTTAGTTATTTTTCTAGTGTAAACCACTTCTACACAAATTTCAGTTGTGGCTGAGGCCAAGGGCTATGGGTTTTCTCTGTTTCTACTCACTTCATTTGGCTGGGCGTTACAGTTGCATAGAGAAGTATGATGAGTGTCTCCTCTTGCGCGTCTAAATAAGGGAGGTGCAATCTGGGCTCTCCAGTCTGCATCTTGTTCCTTGAAAATATGAGCAGTCACAGGTTTTATAAGTATCAGCATGCACATACACACCCACCTTCATTTTTACATCAATTATTTTTATGCTAAGAAGCAGACACAATCAAAATTATTAGACAAAAGAATACTGAGAATATTGCTTCTATTCTTTTTTTAAATGGCATTTTCTCACATCTTCAGTTACTTGCTTCTACCCCCAGCTGTCAAATGTTGACTTTTTTTGTTTCTTCTTCCAACTTACACAACTTAGCATACATCTGCTGTCCCCTGGAGGCCATTTTGTCCCACATTCAGAGGACCAAAGATCTTCAGTCTTGATTTATATCATACTGTGTATGTACACTGTAACTGTACCTCAGTGCAAGTAATGTGGCATGCCAATTTCTCAGGAACTGTTTGTCTGCAAAACAGTTGGTCATGTATCATTTGGGAGAACTGAATCCCTTACAGTGTTGGCTTGGGTGTGCTTGAAGTTGATGTTCAGCTGTTGGCAGTCTTTGATATGTTGGACAGCACAGCAGAGAGAACTGACTAGTGAATGAGTGGGTCTTAATCAAATATCTCCTCACATGTTTTCTCATGGAATGGGCTGCATCGTTTGATGGCGCTTGGGGAGCAACTGTGTTGAATATCGTATAAAAACAAAGCAATAAACCAAAACAACAAAATGTTCCATGGTATGTATAGCAAAGCAGAATGCAAACACATTTCCAAGTAGCATACTCCAAAGAGGATATGGAAAAGAGACTGAGGCCTAGTCAAACATAAAAATAAAAATGAGAAGGATAATATGGAATGCTCTTTATTGCTGATAGTTTAGGAATCATGATATTTTTTTTTATGTTGAGTGAATTTTAGTCAAACCATTGCACATCAACCTGAAATGTTTTGGTAAAGACAGTTAAGATATATTTAAAATAAATAATAATAATATATATATACACAGCACAGTAAGGACCTGATAGCACAATTAAGATATGCTATTGTAACAACATGTTCTCGCTAAGTATTTTAATTTCATAATCTGTGTCAACATTGTGTGTGGTTCATTTATAAAAAGAAGAGTACTACTGTCTGAGGGATGACTGGATGTTCAAAGCTGCTTTTGTATACATGTGTGGTATTTGGAGTGTAGCATGCTTCCAGAGTTCTCTAGAAATACACACTTTTATGTATGTCTGTGCATATTGCTGGGTGGCTGCTCTGGAAGTTGTAAATGCACATGTAACACTGTCTTAAATGCACATCTAAATTACTTACTGTATTGCTAATATTGGTGTGTGTTTTTTCCCTTTGCATGTTTCTTCTGTCCCCTCTGATGACTCGGACGTCTTTTGTTCCACGACATCTTTATATCTTTTGCCCAGGTATGTCAAGTGTTTTTAAGCTTGTATGAATTTCTAATAATAAGATTATGTAGAAATTATTAGTTCCTGTTTGCAACTCTTCCTATTTTATTGTACATCTCTACTGCTTAGTAACGTTTACCATATTTTTCACCCCATAGGACGCACCGCCCTATAGGACACACCTAGTTTTTTTTTGGGGGGGGGAAATAAAGAAAAAAAATTATTTCTCCCCCAGGCACGGGGCTGGCGCGGGGGAAACCCGAGCTTCCCCCGACCCCAGCCCCCAGAACTGCCTGCTATCCACAAGCCTAGGGAGCCGCGCCGGTCTCCCCAGGCTTGCGGACAGCTGTGCGAAGCCCGGGGGCGCTCTTCAGCGCGCCTGAGGCTTCGGAATGCAGGCAGCTCTGCGGAACCCTCTGGAGCCCGGGAGGGCTGCGCACAGCTCCGGAGGGTCGCGCACAGCTGCGCTGAGCCCGGGAGCGCAGGCAGCTCTGTGCGACCCTCCTCAGCCGGCGCGGCTTGGTGCTGGGTTCCGGAGGGTCGCGCAGAGCTGCGCAGAGCCCGGGAGCGCAGGCAGCTCTGTGCGACCCTCCGGAGGCCGGCGCGGTTTGGCGCAGGGTTCCGGAGGGTTGCGCAGAGCTTCCTGAAGCCTGGAGAGCGAGAGCCTCTCGCTCTCCAGGCTTCAGCGAAAGCCTGTATTCACCCCATAGGACGCACCCACATTTCCCCTTCATTTTTGGAGGGGAAAAAGTGTGTCCTATAGGGTAATTTAGTCCTTAGTGTGAGATTTTGTCCAGTTAATTATGTCATCTATAAAAAATTCTCATGTGACCTCATTTGACATGGCACCAACACACAATGTATGTATATTGAGAATAGCCAATTGGTTAGTTGCTGAAAGTACAGCTTTTCCCTTTAGCTTTATTTTATCACCGTTGAACTATTTTGCACATCAAAATAGGAAAAGCTAATTGCAGTGTCTAAGGCAACATTCCCAACTTTGTGACCTCCAGTTGTTTTGGATTAGAACTTCTAGACCTGCTGGCTGGACTGTTGGGAATTGTAGGTCTATGGTTTAAGTGGTGGTTCTTAACAGCATTTCTGAAAAACTGATCTGAGACAGTAATAAGCAAATAGTGGATTGATGTTGGAAATGAGGTGGCCAGTAGCTGATAAATTACAATTTCTGTGTTGGTGAACAATGATGATCCTGGTACCTACAGTCTTCAGGTACTTGTGTTATTTCTTCATTACCATATGATCCAGCAAGTTGTTCCACCAAATGAGGCTTCTTGACTGTTCCATTAAAGATACCTAGATGTTTTATTAGCAACATGAATGTATTATGTAAAATAAAACTCTCATGCTCCCTACTTCCCGGAGCAGTGATAAATTCAATGGGCACCACTTACCTTGGCTTCCTTTTGTGCAGAGGTGAGGGACCTGTGGATATTGTAGGACTCTGACTCCCATTAACCCCAACTAGCATAGCCAGTTGTCAAAGATGATAGGAACTGTAGTCCAATAAAACCTGGAGGTGTTCAGCTTCCTGCTTTAGTGGAAATATTCCTGGAAGCGTTTTGTAACACCTAGTTTGTTTTATTTTTCCAAGTAGAGCATTGGCAGCTTAAGCACATCAATAAGTTGCAGATCCACTGTTCCACATCAGATTATAAGAGAGGGGAGGTATATACACCCTGCATCTCAAAAACTTGCTTTTTTCTGCCTCTCTTCTATCCGAAATCTATTTCTTTTCATAGAATCACTGTTCCAAAAAACATTTTTATAGTTCCTTCCACACACATATACACACACATATACATCTAGCTTGTCATATCTTCTCAACTGGACAGGGAATGAGTGTTCTCCCCAAATTCTGATGGGTTTCACATTCCGAAATATCATTTGACACTTTGTTCTGATGAAGTGATAGTCCTTGCATAGCCTGGGTAATTACCAATAAATTTGCTTGACGAAAGGTATGGCCAATCTAGCATTCATAGCTATGGGACCAACATAGTCTAGATCATTGGATCTAGACTATGTTGGTCCCACTTGAGTTCCAATAAAATCATTTAGCTATTAAAAGGAATATAGATAGATTGCTCTCCATTCTGTTGCATTCAACCCTCAGCGATCAGTTCCCCACCCCCACCCCACTCCCCACCCCCAAAATATACACCCAGCTAATTTTTTTATAAGTCAAATATAAGCCCAGAATCACCTCCATATGTTATGGTTGCTAGAATTTTCCTTCTCCCTTGTATTGATTTGGCTACTTAATATTTAATCAGATAGCGACTGGGTGGGGAACGCCTGTTGAAATGCAGCAGATCTTCAGATTCTTGCAGCACATATTGGATTACTTTTATTTGCTACACATTTTTATCACTTTCTTGCTGCCAAAAGATAATGTAATATCTTCAGTTTCCCCCCAAGATTTGGACCTATAATTCTTCACAGATATAACCATATACTTTAATTCCACAATTTCCTTTACAGTTCTGCACACCCCAAGTTCTCAGTGCAAGAGTCCTTTAAATTATGAAATGTGCAAGGGTCTTTGAAGAAATAATGCACTCTGAAAATGCATACCATTGATATTTTGTGTGCATATGACTAATATAAATATTCTACTAAATGAAACTCTCGCTGTGTCCAAATTCCAGAGAGACTTGTGGTAGGACATGTATATGCAACAGGTCAGAATGTGAAACTAATAACACACACTTGGAATAAAAAACACATGTCTTTTGTTGCCTAAACTTGCTTCCCACCCCCTTTTAAAGCTGTTTTCTGAAGGATATAGGCTTTGAAGGGCTGTGAACTAACATCCTGGTCCTAACTCACCTACTTCAAAATAAATTTCATTAATTTCAATGGGACTTAATTCTGTTTGTGTTTATGATAGCAACTTAAATGGAACTTCACTGGGGAGGGGGAGTTAAATTCCACTTAGGCTGCTGTCCTATGAGGAAAGAGGCCTTTCCCCCAAAGGATGGAAATGTTTCTTTGTGATAGGAATGTGTGTGGGAGGGCGGGGTTTGCATGAAACACAAGACCTTTAAGTATAGAAGTTTGTTGAAATGTGAAAGATAAGTGTGGAAATCTTGGCTCCAGAGCAGTCAGTGGGGATTTTCAAACATTATTAGGACTTTACCTCTTGTTACAAGCTGCAAGGCTCTTGCGTCAGAAACTTGATAAAGCAGATGTTAATTTTGTTTTATTTTATCTTCAGGGCTTTAAAATGGCAGTTTTAAAGACTTCTTTTGAAATGACATTTTTTAATCAAGCAGTAACTTAGTGCATTGTACATTAGTTATTGGATAGCTCAGTTGGGTAGTGTGTGGTGCCGATAACTCCAAGGTTGCAGGTTCAGTCCCTGTATGGAACAGCTGCATATTTCTGAATTTCAGGGGGTTGGACCAGATGATCCTCAGAGTCCCTTCCAACTCTACAATTCTACGATTCTCTGCAACCTAGTGTGAGTTACAACAAGAAATACATAAAACAAAAACCTTTAAGATCAACAATATAGTAAACAGAAGATATGTCAGTTTTCTTAAGTCCAGGCATATCTCTGCATTAAAAAAAGCCAGACAGAAGAGAGAGGTTTTTATCTAGAGCTAAAACTCTAGAGGGAGTGTATCCCCTCTACAGGGAGTGTATTCCATATTGGGGTGCTACCCTGAGACCTCCGGGTATAGAGTGGTATAAAATTTTTAATAATAATAATAATAATAATAATAATAATAATAATATATTGCAAAGGCCTTAAATCAGATCATAGAACCCTGAGCTTTCTTTAAAGCCAGATTTACCAGCAGGGCATTCTTGGTGGCTCTAAAGGCACAGCTTGGTTGGTTGATACTGGGAAAGACAACCCCTCAGATAACTGGGTCTCAAGCCGTTTAGGACTTTACTTGCCCAGACCAAAATCTTAATTTGCACCCCCATAAAACATTCCGGAATGGTGACCTTTGCAAGATATATTTTCAGAGGTATGCCGTTCTAATTGTTCCTTTACAAGAGGCGCAGTTTCTATGTCATTGGTTTTTTGTTGATTCTGCACGTATGTGGAAGCAGACAACTGTGGTACACAGGGCCAGGTTAATGCTTGGCTTTACACAACCCATTTCAACGTCTTTATTCCAAATGTCAAACAACAGCATTTGTTTTTAATAATGTTTAAATATTGTAATTAAGAAAATAACACTGCATTATTAAACAGAAGTTAAAAGAAATACATTTTTATCACAAGGGTTAAAGTAGGCATGTCAAGCCTTGTATTGTACAGCTAAACAAGAGAGTTGACATCCAGCAATGCAATCCATAGCAACTGAGTTAGTTAGCAGACCTAACCAGTGCTATTTTTTCTAGAGAAGGAGGTGCCAGAACTTGCCATGAACACCTCCCGAGAACTGAGTTCCTGCTGAAAAAACAGCCCTGGAACTAACTGCCTAGTACTGATAGCTCAGCTGTGATAGAGAAAGCTGAGAGAAGCAGCAGCCTGGAATGCTGAGCAATTGAAACATATTTTGACTCCTGTTGATGTGCTTTTCTCCCACCTTGGACAAATACCAGATTTTTATCTATAACATAATAGAACACCACAATTACAACATAAATCATATAAAATAATTAACAAATCATCAGTAAAACAACCTTGTATAAAACACTATTAACAAAACAACCTCAAAAATAGGCTAAACTGCACAACTGCAAGAAAAGTCATATTATAAAATCCACAAAGCATTGCAGCACTCAGCACTGTTGAGTTCACACACTCCCCCCACCCCCATGACTCATGGTCTTCCATTCAAAAGACACATACACATAATGCCCATAGCAGCAAATCCATTCTGAAGACTTCTAGGGCTCCAAAGGCTGGACGGTGGGGCAAGGTAGATGGAAAAAGCCCTTGCCAGATGACCAGCAGAGAGTCTCATTCCTCTCACTGTGAATTACAAAGTACATATATATGCCTAATTTTCAGTGTTATGGAATTACTGAATCTTGTCCATTAAAAAAAACCCTGCATATGCAGCTTTAAGAATAATAAAATATAGTATATATCTTCTAAACCAGGCATAGGCAAACTCGGCCCTCCAGATGTTTTGGGACTACAGTTCCCATCATCCCTGACCACTGGTCCTGTTAGCTAGGGATCATGGGAGTTGTAGGCCAAAAACATCTGGAGGGTCAAGTTTGCCTATGCCTGTTCTAAATACTAGGGTTTTTTTCATATTCAGGTGGACAGTCCAAGAGTAAATATTCCACTTCCCCTCCTCCATAAATAAAAGGGGGCAACAGAGTGACTTATATAAAGACTTGGTCCTCTGTCAAAATCAGTTGTTTGCTAAGGATGAACAATAACATAAATTTCGCTTGATTATTATTTTTTACATTACTTTGATACGAATTAATATATTTGGTGAATGAAGGTAATTAAACAGAGTTTCATTATGTGTAAATATTTGGGTTTTTCCTGCTCCATGTTGAAAGACTGCTACTATAGGCAAACAGACAAAGTACAGTCAGAATGTACGACATTTTTATTCACATTAGGAGTCATAGGATGATTTTAATTATAAATAGGCCATGTGGCTGATTAAGACTGAGTAATATGAGCATCAGGATGATTAATGTTAAATATTTGTGGTAACTTGCCATACTCTGCGTTTAAATGATGGAATGTATTCTGTTGGTTTTGTAACTGCTTCAGCGTGAGTGGAGTCTTGCTTTTCTGTTCATATATGGGATAGTCTGTTAATTCTATTTCAAGTCTTAGCATTTTCCCTAATCCCTTAGAATACTGGTTTTCTGTCCTGTTGTTCACTGTTTGAACAGACCCTTTATTTGTCCTAGACAGCCTAGACTTTCCCCTCCTGCCTCTAGATCTGTTAGAAGCTTCATGGTGTTGATCACAGCATGGGATGAAATGTTCTATCAGAAGATTCCCTAGTGAGATGATCCATCCCATAATGGATGCTTGGAATGCTCTGCGGTTAGTTTGATATCTACTGAGTGAAGGATTACAGGATGTACTGCACCTTTCTTTGCCTGTTTTGGAGTTAAAGCTGAAGATGTCTGAACATTATTTATACATTTTGGGTTGTATCCAACACTGTCAATCTGTTGCAAGGGTGTTTGCACTAGTGGTGGTCTATTTCTTAATGTTGTGCAGCGGAGGAATCTAATGCAATAGATCCACCGGCAAAACTGTTGTGTAAAAGATTGTGCCTGTGGAAATAATGCAAAGCTACATGTTATTTTCCTGTCTTCTGCAGATAGTGTATACAATAAAATCTGGTCGCTTGTGGAACCTCTAGCACAAGATCTGCTTTATGCAAGTTGATCTGCTTACACAGTGCAACCTGCTAGCAGAATTATTTCAGTGCTAGCTCATTCAGTTTAGTGCTGTGTTGGATATAATTCCATGATGTTTTTCTTGAGTTGCAAATTTCTTCAGAATAGGTTAGGAAGTTTGTGTTCTGAGAAAATATATACATGGAGAACATCAAAAGAGAAAATTCATATTAACTCCTTAAGGGAAATGCAAGAGGCAGAGGCAAAAATGGGTGAAACCATGGATGCAAATTTTAGCTTTTTATAGTAGGCAAGATTCTGCACATGCTCATACACCCTGCTAAAGGAAACTTACTAACCAGTGTGGGAAATAAGAAGACAGACTAAATGAACCCTTGTTCTGATCCAGCAGAGCTCTTCTTAATGTTCTTAGTACTTGGCACAATTGTGGTTCTTTTCCTTATTTTTGTGCCATGTTTGTATGTTCTGATTTCCTAAACCATTAGTATATATATATATTTAATACTAGGTTATTTATTTGAGTGAGTGCAGTAGTTTAAAGGCATGTATTTAATGCTGTTGTTTGAGTGGGGTTCTACTAGTTCTTTGGTGATTCACTCCTAACTTTGTGGTGGGATTTGTTCAAAGGAAGTGTGTATTTGTTTTAGTTATGAGTCCTGCACTTGTTTTTCCTATGGATCCTGTAAACTGCAAATAGAGAATAAGGAAAAAATAAAGGAGGAGAAGAATGAGCTGGTCTTTCTTTTGTGTGTGTTCTTCTTTTTCTTGCCTGCTGCTGTAACATGGTGACATCTATCAGTCCATCAAAGAGCCTAGCAGAAAGGTAAACAGCTCCAGTATACAAGAACATCTGGCTCTCATAAATTAATTGGCCATTTACACAGTGAGGGCTGTTTGCATGCAGAAGCAGGCTTTCCTGCTAATGTTGTCATAAGCTTTTGATTCTCCAGGTTCATCCATTTCTTTTTGTTATTTTTTTGCTTGTTCTAGTCAGTTGGTTTTAATTTATTTTACTTTGTCAGTCATGAAATGAAGAGGAACCAGGCAACCATGAATCGTATCTGACTCTGGTGCTCTTGTTGTTTGATCCTTTGGGATCTTGGGTCTATTTTCTCTCAGAACAAGAAAGTCACGGATGCTGGCAGAGGTGAAGGTTAGGGGTGAGGTTGTTCTTTCCTTCCAACAAATGCAAATTCAACATATTCACTACCTTATTTGATTTTGAATTAATATTTGTATTCTTTTCCAGCAACAAATATTGAGCTCAAAGAATTATTTCACAGTAACAACAATAGCATTATAATAATGGTTATTTATTTCATAAAATTTATACACCGCCTGATTGTAAGAAACGTCAAAGCAGTTTACAAAAATTATCCAACATTGCAATCACTATAATAATATAAAAAATACAGTGTGCTGTGTAGTAAAGGCTACACAAAATAAACATATTTCCAAGTCTACATCTGTATTGGAATTGTTTTGAGATGCTTTGATTGTGTTATTGCTTGTGTCCTTGATCCAAGGAACGGCAGTTTAGTAATAAATGGTGGAATTCAGTAAAGTGCTGTGCTTTATTGCTTTCCAGCTTTTCAGACAGAACTCTCCTCCTTCTCCTTCCCCTGTGCACTGTTCTGGGGATTCTCCACACACACACACACACCAACCAGAGAGCTAAGAGGGGGTCTTGAAGGTGGAGGAGTGGGGGGGAGTCCTTGTGTCCTGCTTAGCGGGACTAGTTAGCTGAATCTGGCCCTCATAAATTAATTAAAGGAGACATCTGCCTCCAATGCTGTTCCTTGTCACAGACTTGGGGAACCTTTGGTCGGACAGATGTTGCTGAACGCTGCCATCATCCCTGACCATTGGCCATGCTGATTAGGGCTGATGGGAGTTGTTGTTCCCAATACCTGATCTAAAGTGTATGAGACTGACCTGTACAAGCAGATTGCTTCTCCCTCGCTCCTGACTCTGTTGCATGGGGGGTGGGGGAACAAGCCAGAGTCTGGCTTGTCAATATGTGGAAACCTGGACTTATTGTTTGTTTCTCTCTCTCTCCAAACT